GCCCGGCCTCTGAAGGGGGCCAGCCGGCAAGCACTGCGGAGGCTGGACGCTGGAGCTACAGCAACAGCAACACGACCGACCGTGCGGCTGAGGGAACACCCCAAGCAGGGACGGGAGCGACCCTGAAGTTGTCCCAACTTGCAAAGCGGCTGCAAATTTCAACCAGATTTGATTTTTTTTTTTTTCCGGACCTGCAGAGCAGAAGCTGGAAGTTCTGCCTTGGGGAATGGAGAGCCCCTGCCTGCACGCTGCCGGGCTGCCTGCGGTACTCCCTCGTCGTCCCTCGCCCACCCCGAGCGGGGAGAAGCCGCTTACAAAAAAAAGGTTCCTGGGCCCCATCAGCAGCAGGGCGGGCACTGGCATCCTGCTCTCCTCTTCAACAGGGGTGAAGCAGCCGGTGAAATATATAAACAGTATCAGGAAAAAAGGGATGTACCTGCAAGCAGAAACAACGCGCCGCTCGCCGGTGTGGCCCTGGGAAGCGTTTAAACCCCCCCCACACCCCCAAATCTAAACCACGCACTGAGGCGCTTCCTATGCTGAGCCTGTGAGTGAATCTGGTGAAAGAGCGGAAGCGGGGGCGGGTGAAGCAGTGGGGCGTGGGGTCCCGCTCCGTGGGGTCCCGCGGTGCCAGGCAGGGCATTGCCCCTCTGCCAGCACCACAGCTCTTGCTGCGAGATTGCCGCTGCGTCCGTACGACAGCCGAAGGGCTGGGGGTGCCGGGCTGCTGTACGTCCTGGCTGCACCCAGTGCTCCTGCAGCTAACGAGGCTTCTGGGGCTCTCGCAGGAAAAGCCCGAGTTTGCTGATGAGGTCAAACGCCGGGCTCAAGCGCTCATCGAATTTGTCACGCTCCCAGGCTCTAGGAGGCTGTTTAAGAGCGCTGTGTTGTGTTAAAAGCTGAACTGCGGGAAAGCAGGACGTGGACCGGGATTTCAACAACCTAACAGAGCCCTTTTATTTTTTTTTCATTTTAAAAATAATTCATTTCATTTCATTATCCCAGTTCATTTTAAAAGAACGGGATTTGCTTGCGCCGCAGCACTCGAGGAACAGCAAATAAACCGGGAAAGCCTGATGGGGGAGAAATTTCCCTCCGCGCTCGGAGAGGTTTCAGGCTTATCTGGCAGCAGATAAGGGCTGGACAGTCCTTTCTGGGGTCTTCGGCGCTGGCAGGACACAGGACACGTCGGCAGCACCGGGTGCTGCTCAGGCGGGCAGGAGCACGCCGTCCCGCTGCAACAGGCACTTCTAGGGTCAGCTTGGGGTGCTGGCGCTGAAATCGGCCCCTAACTGAGCTCCCTGGACCACCCTGCCCAAACGGGCTCTGTTACTGGGCTGCACTGGTCTGGCTACGCGAGCAAGCCGTCCCTCTCACCGGGGAGTCGCTGAACGGCTGCACGGCAAAGGAGGGGAGCGAGCAAAGGGCTAGAGAGGCCGGGCAGAGCCGGGTTGGGTTGGGGTCAGCTTCCAGAGGAGCAAAAACGTGGGTGGTGACGGCCAAGGAGCCTGCGGGGCCCCCAGACCCACGCTGTAACTTCTCTCTTCACCCGGGCGCCCCGTGGGAGGTGGCCGAGGACAGATGAGCCGTTCCTCTGGCCCCTACGGCTGTCAAACAGCTGCCACGTCCCAGAAATATCACCCAGACGGAGACAAAACTAGGGGGAACGGGCATGTTCCAAGGGAGAGACCCACTGTCCTCACACTGGCTATGAGAATGTTATCCCCAGCGAGCTCTCATCCGCTGCGTTTTATTTTTTTTTTACGTATTAAGCTACGATCAGATCAGATCTGCCCTTCCTTGTATTATGTTCCGAGGCCTCTAGATAGACTGTAAATTGCTTACCACATCGAATGACCTAAATATTCATCGTAGTAGTACAGCAGCTCAAAGGAATCAATCTGCAACGCAACGAAAAGAGATTTAAAAGGGCAGGGGGAACAGGATGCTATTAAATAAGCAATTAATATGCTTTTTTTTTAAGTGCTTGTATAAAACACAGCCATTAATATAATTTTTTTTTAAGCGCTTGCATAAAACACAGCCTCTTTACCAGTGTCTCTGGCTTCAGGTTCTTGATGATGGGATTCTCTCTTACAGACAGATGGTGCTGGTAGCCGCTGAAAATCAGGCGATGGTTTACGGAGTCTCCGACCAAGTGGATGCTGGCTCCCATGACAAACATGATGATGCTGACGTAGACCATTGATCTCGGTAAGGTCTTGGGGGATCTCTCGATGAGCTAAAACCAGAGAGACGTGTTGAACAGCAAGGAGGTACCGGCAGAGACACGCGACAACTTCTGCCCTCCCTGACTTCACGGTGCTTTGCAGAAATCATCTACACCCAAGCAGGGGCTTGCAGAAAGCTGCAGGTTGTGCTGCCGTAGCGGCTGTGAGCTGCTGCCTGCCGCGGCCGGGGAAAGCAGTTGTCCCCCAGGGAAAGCGGTGCGACCGCACCAGAACGAACTGCCCTGATTGCAGCTCTTTGCCTAAGCACATCTCAGACACGTTTCCACCAGCCTGCGTGGCTTTCAGGTTCGAGTACAGGCTTTATCGCTGTTTGCAACAATAAACACCGCGTGGTTTTTGCCCTTGCTAAACCTTTCTGCAAAGCAGCATCCTTAACCTGAGTCAATGCTTAGACTGAATCAGTGACCCAGTACTTCTAAAAGAGTACTCAAAGCAGTTTCTTCACCAGATGCGATCAAAACCCATTAATGAGAAGTAAAAAGGCAGCTGCTTTCCCTAGCCGGCTCTGGCAGGCTGTCTGTGCCCTCCAGTGGCAGCGAGAGCCTCCAGCAGCTCTCCAGCTGAGCTCTCCAGTGCTAAGAGACACTTGCTCCTTTAGAATTCTCCGCTGGATGATTTTCAAAAGGCTCTTGTTGGGTTTTCTTCTTTTTTTTTTTTTTTTTCCTTTCTTCCTAGTGGAATCAGACTCGCCTCCCTCTGTACTTGCTTGTAAGGAGGAAGCTGCATTTAAACCCCTATCTAGAAATCCCTAAGTACCAGCACAACCGGTTGAGGCGACCTTTTGAACGCCGGCTTTGGTGAGGAGCTCTCCCCGTGCCATCTCCCGGTCTGCCTGGGTCTGGGCGGAGGCAGGCACGTCAGGCTGGCGGGGAGCCTGCTGCTTGCACCCTGGGCTGAGCCCTTGCAAGCCCGGCTGGGGACGCGGAGCAGGAGCTGCTCCCCGGGAAGGAGCTCCCCACTCAGCCGGCAAAGCAGGGAAGACCTCGAAAGACGTAAATCCCAGCTCAAGGGGTTCAGGCTTTGGAAGCGATGCCGAGCCGGCCTCGGGAACCGCGGGTCGGGGGGGACACGCATCAGCCCAGCCCCAGGATCAGCTGAGGCCACCGCCGCCTCCCTGTTGCCAAATCAGCTTTGCAGCCCTTCATAAACAGCGAAAAGCTCCTTATTTGTGTTTAATTTTGAGGCTTAACTTTCCCTTTCTCTGTAACTGCTGTATGAACGTCAGAGGAGTCAGCGAGGACGAGTAGAGCGAAAAGTCCAGGAGAGCTCTCGTCTGATGGAAAAGGACAGTGGGACACGGCCTTCGAGGGGACACTGGGCAAAAGAAATGCACCCTGAATAACAAATGGATTTTTTTCTGTGGACCAACCCTTCATGCTGTGCTGCCAGGGAAGTCCAAGACAGCAAATTTTAACCTGATGAGGACCCAGCCTGCAGAAATCGGCCGTGTCAGACTGTGACGGGTCAGACCGAGCTTCAGAGCTTTCACGTCCCCCAAAGGACCAGATCCTGAATATTCCTTTTTGGCCACAGTGGCATTTTAAAATCTCCCAGACAGACTCAGGAGAGAGAGAATCATTTACATCTTAGGAAATAATTCAATTTCTAGCTAATGGAGGTTAAAATATATTTATAATTGCTTTCTTCTGGCTGCTAAGTGTTTAATATAAGAAGGTTTCTAATGATACGACAGTCTTTAACCTCATAAATGGTTTACATGATCCAGTGGCTGGCAGCTGAAGCAAGATAAATTCAAGCTGAAGATACAATTCTACTGTCGAAGAGCAAATGTAATTAAGCTCTGAACAATTTAGAAAATCTACTATAGTTCCAGCTGCCTCATAAGGTCTTTTAAGTCATGGATGGATGTTGTCTTAAAAATACGCTTTGGCTCAGCCAGGGCGAAGGGCTCTGACCCCTCCTGAATCCGGACTTCCCAGGGGATGCGATTTGCTTTGTATATGCAGGAAATTGAGTTGGATTAAGACGCTCACTGCCCTGCTCTTTAAAAGGTGGCACCACAAACTCCTCCTGGAGTGGCAAACCTCTAACGTACGGTGGGGCCGGCTCGCTTGCAGGAGTTTGCGAATAACCAACGTTTGTTCAACAAGTTTAGATTGGATATTAGGAAAAATTTCTTCATGGAAAGAAAAAAATGGAACAGGCTGCCCAGAGAGGTGGGGGAGTCCCCATCCCTGGAGGGGTTCGGGCAGAGGTGGCACTCTGGGACATGGTTTAGTGGGCATGGGGGTGTTGGGTTGATGGTTGGGCTGATGATCTTAGAGATCCTTTCCAACCTTAATGATTCCTAGTTTTACTTTCATTAAAAAATAATCCAGCCACCAAGCCAGGAAACATGAAATTATTACTCCCCCCTTAATTGGTTTAGTAGTGGACTTGGTAATGTTAGGTTAATGGTTGGCCTGGATGATCTTAAAGGTCTTTTCCAACCTAAACGATTTGATGATTCTATGGAACTCTTAGCCTTTACAAAACTGTATTGTTTGCCCTGGTAATATTAAGAAAAAAAGTAACACCTGCACCTCAAGGTTTACCTTTAGCAGAAGAAATGGTGTGATAACATTGTAAGCCATGTGGAAATAATCTCCAGCACTTGGTTTGTTTAGAGGAAACCACTCCAAAGGTAGGATTATCTGAGGAGGGGGGAGAAAAAAGCACATCAGTATAGCCTCACCACCCAGCTCGCGATCACAGCCCCGTCATGGGCTGAAAGACGGGGAGAGAGAAAATCTTTGCTTTGGACTGCCGCTGCTTGCTAATTGCCAGCTTGATTTCCCGTAGCTGTTAGTAACGAGGTTGGGCAGCTCTTCTTGCGGTAAAGCATCCCTAAAAGCGCAATCTGGAAGCGGGTGCTAAACGCACGGCGTATTTACGTCTCGGCCGTTCAACTCCTGCAGCGCTGCCCGAAGCCGATGCCGTGAAGTTGTGTGGCCAAGCGAGCGAGCAAGGCGTTCGGGAGTCCTGCAGCAGCGGATATCCGTTAACTCTCTGCCACGTGCAGATGCCAGCAGTAAAAAATTACGTTTGAGGGTAATGGCCACTTCTGCCCTTCACCATTTAGAGAGCAGGAGTGCCAAGCTCTGGAGATACAGGCAAGGCATGGGGAAGTGCGGTAGGAATCTCTCCAGGTAACTTTTGTTATGAAAACGTAAAGATGTGGGATAGACGACATGGATACCATCCCCGTGACTGGAGCAACACGCTTGGTAGCAGTTACTCACACCAGTACGTCGCAGCGGTCCTCGCCTCAAGGACAGCTCCTCAAGGGCATCGCTCTGGGGTAGAAAACAGCCCACGGGTCTACGGGGGACCGCCACGGCTCTGCCACCCTGTCCCCCACCCTAAAGAAGTTGAGCGCAAGCAAAGCAGCGGGCCTGCCTCTGCCACACTCACCATCGCGATGGGGCGCCCGAAGTCCAGCACCCAGTTCTGCAGAGTGAAGTAGAACCACAGATCAAAATGAAACGGGGAGGTCTTGAAGGTGTCCTCGTTCTTCACCGCCCCATGCCTAGAGGTGACAGAAGTGACAGTGTCAGCCTGAAGTCACGGAACAGGGTTCTGAGCAGACTCCAGGTCTGCATCCCTACCCAAAACCTGTGCTTCCCTGGCTGCCGGCGCGGCTCCGGGCTTTGGGATCTGTGGAATAACAACAAAGTTGAGAGGCCGAAGAGAGGAGGCGGCAGTACAGAAGGGCAAAGCGTTGTTAATAAAACCTGGCACATCCCCGTAAGAAGGCTCTTCCTGGCCGAGAAGTGAGCACAAAAGCAGGATGAAAAGCTTAAGTGCTGAATTAAGTGCAACTATTTTTAACTTTTGCATGACAAAGCAAAAATTCAACTCCTGTGGCACTTCTGCTGAACGCCAAAGATGCACGGATGCCTGGCGGTACTCGAGCACAGGGACGCTCTGGGTGCACCATCACCTTCAGCTTCCGCTCCGACCATCCTCCTCTTCTGCCTCTGCAGAGCACGGCCCGATCCAACCCCGCTGAAGTCTTTCCACCAAATAAATAACCCCCCAGCACCACCGGACCTTCCCCTCCCGACAGGAACAGCGGACGAA